AGATTTCTTCAGCAGCTGCAGCAGGATTTTAAGTGTGTGTGTAGGGGTGTGTTTATATGTTTTGTGTATACACAAATGTGTGTGTGATTTGCATGCCTATATGTGCATATGAAGATCTGGTCTTCCTCTATCGTTTTCAACCTTATCTTTTTGTTCTTGTTTTCAGACATGATTTCTCTCCAAAGCTGAAGCCCACTGGCTAAAATGTTCCAGGATCTGCCTGTCTCCTTCCCTCCATGCTGGGGTTACAGACATGAGTGGTTATGGCTGGCTTTACATAGGTGCTGGGGTGCTGGGGATTTGAACTCAGGTCCTCATTCTGTCACAATAAGTGCTTTTTACCCATTGAACACTCTCTAGAAAAAAAATCTTTTAAATATTGTACTTATGAATACTTCAAGGCAAGCCTGAAAAAACTTAACTCTTTGAATATACTTGCCATGATTAATTGAGATGGTCATTGTCTACTAATCTGATTGTTTGAGCCATAACCTCATACTACAGCCCAGGCTGGCCTTAATCTCACAGCCCTCCCTGATTCATCTCCCCTGGTGTTGGGAATACAAGTTTATGTCAATATACTATGCTGAAAACGGCCCCTTTCTTCTACCTTCCTTCCTTCCTCCCTCCCTTCCTCCTTCCTTCCTTCCTCTTCCTTCCTTCCTTCCTTCTTCCCTCTTCCTCCCTGTCTTTCTTTTCCTCCTCCTCCTTTTTTTAAAGACAGGATCTCAAGTAGTCTAGGTTGGTCTCAAACTGGCTATGTGTGTGTCAAAGTCAATGGATGAACTTGAACTCCTGATCCTGGTGTCTCCACCTCTCCAGGGTAGAGATTATACACTTGACTGAAAATGGCCATTTGCTAAAAGTATGGAAGAGTAGCACTCACACTTATGGACTAGTGATCTGGAACCAGCCAGGCAACTGTGCTTCAGTGTTGTTTGATTTCACTTACCTATGATCAATCTCAGCCCAAAAAATTCTAAATGGAAAATTCCAGAAACAAACAATTCATAAATTTGAAGTAAATTTCATCCCAGTATTTTGTTCTGATTGCTCTATTTTATTATTAGACATTGCTGTTAGTCTCTTACTGTGAAAGTCTATAAATAAAACTTGGTCATAATCTGTATGTAGGGGGAAGCATAGCATCTACAGGGTGTGTATGCTTTGTATACCCCAGTGCACATGCAGGGGTGTGGCATGTGTCTGTCACCCCAGCATGCCGGAAGCTGAGGGAGGAAGATCATGAATGAGGCCAGCATGGGTTGTGGAGTGAGATCCTGTCAAAGCATAGAAAGAGAAAGGGGGTAAGGGGAAGGAGGGAGGAAAAAGAAGGGAGAAGGAAGTATGGAAAAGAGCAAAAAGAGGGAGGGAAAGAAAGAGAGGAAGGAAAGAAGGAAGAAGAAAATGTCTCAGGACCTGTTGTGTTTTTAGTTCCAAACCACCCAGGGTTCCATAGTGAGACTCTGTCCCAATGCTCCCCCAAAAAAGCAGATTTGGGATTTTTTCTGGGTCATAGAATATTTGTGGAACTTTCATTGGCTGAACATCCTTCATCTGAAAAGCACAAACCCAAAACTCACCAAAATCTGTTCTTTTTGAACATGGTGTTCATGAGGCATTCACTGGGGTGCTCAGTCCTGTGTATGATTTCTAGTCTTTGTAAAATTATGGCCAAGCAGGGATTGTAATAGGCACTGCACTGGGCAAGAGTGACTCA